AAAAGGGAAGCAAATCAATTCCTGTCCCACCACAGACCAGAATAGAACGTAAAGCAGTGAGCTTTTTTGTTAATTCCATATTGTATATACTATTAATACCTTTATCCACTGTTAGATTAGTGTTTGGAAAAACCCAAAGGGGAAGGACTTGTGTAAGGACTTCCCTAAAAGCACTTACATTTCATTTAGTAGTTACTAAATAATCGAAAGATATTTTTAGATAACCTCACATTTAGTTAAGTTACTTCTAATTTAGCTTTAAAAAAAAACTAAGGTAGAAGAATCCTGATGATAAAACACAAGGGAAAACAGCAACTATAGATATAAAGATAACATATGCAAAAATGATACCTAAACTATACATGTTAGATTAGGAAAGAATGGTTAGAGGTGATTTGGAAGTACAGAAATAGCATCAGGTAAATCAAACTGTAAAAGAAGTCTGGTTCTCTCTCTCTCTCTCTCTGTGGGGATTTCTGAACATCTATAAAATATACAAGAGATAAAGAACAGTCAGCAAGTTTAAGGTGGTGTGTGAGTGAAGACAACCCGGTCTGAATCTCTGTCTGTTGTCCCTGGAGGTCGGTGAGTCATAAATGACTCTCTGCAAACTCACCGCGCACCAAGCAGCTCAGAGCATCAGTGTTCTATTCAAATGACCTGGCTGGGCCTCTGTTTTTACCCCAGGCTTCTTGGTACCACCTGTGTTTCAGTGACTGTTGGGGGGGGGCAGTTGTGTGATCAGTCTGGCACCGGAATCTACAGACACACTTCTCTGCACCACTGCCTGTTTTCAGATCTGCCAGACAAGATAAACAACAACAGAGTAGTCTGTTAACAGAGCTACTCCGGCAGCTTCGCTAACCTTCAGCAGTCCCTGTGGTAGATTATTATTTTCTTGGTTAACCTTGAACCTTCTTACTTAAGACTATTTTTGCGGAAGGCTATCTGTTTGAGAGAACTGCTCAATAGAGTAATTTCTTTTGTGTTTTTTTTTTTTTACTAATGTTAAACTAGCATCTTTTGTTTGCCCTTTTGTCTGTTTGTCTCTTTTCTATTTTCCTTTTTTTTTATCTTGACAAAAGTTTGTTAGCCGCCTCCTTATACTATAGAGAAGACGATAGAAACAAAACAGAAAGGGATCAAGAAAAACGTTATCCAAAGCTCAGGCCTTTTTTTATTTTATTTAATTTTTTTGCTTGTGTTCTGCTATATAATTTAGCCACTCCAGATTTAGGGTTTGGAAAGATGATGAGGGCGCGCTCCCAAGGGCGGGTGGAGCTAAAGTAGTGGAGATAATAGTGGAGTGGTGAAGAACGTGGATCTGCAGACAGAAAAATAACTCCACTCTGTAGGGGAAGAGGTTGAGCCAGAGCGGGGAGTAGGAGATGTTCGGGCAGCTGCTCACCAGATGTCTGACCATCAGCTCCGTCAGCACTGGAGAGCTGGACTGAGGTCCCACAAATCTGGACTTCAAACACTTTAGTTGTAGGGCAAAAAAAACAAAAAAAAAACCAACTTGATTTTGTTTTCTCCATGTTGTGTCCAGTCTGCTGCTGAGTGTCCTCGGTCAACAACTTGATTTTGTTTTCTCCATGTTGCGTCCAGTCTGCTGCTGAGTGTCCTCGGTCGTGTTTATTGGGGTCAACATGAGGTTCAGAGTAGACGTCAGTGATCAGTTAATGTTAGGGTGAGAGAAGTCAGAGCCGTATGTCCAGCAGTGAACACCACACATGTATGAATGAGCAGTAAATGACTTTTACAGCATGTGTGGAACAGAGAACAAGTTGTCAGAGTCACCACAGCCTAATGAGAAGCAGCCGGGGAGGAGGAGGAGGAGGAGGAGGAAGAGGATTAGTCAGGAGGCTCCTCCAGACTCAGACGAAGCTCTGGATGACAGTCAATGTCAACGTGATCACATGACTAAAGATGTTTCCGACTAGGTGTTCAAACTCTGTCTGTCTGTCTGTCTGTGTTATTAACGAGGAGAGGTGACAGGAGTTTTGTTTTGCTATATTTTGGATTTATCAGATGGAAACATCAGCCTGACAGGCATCAGCTAATGAATATAAAACTCAATAAATCCTCATCATGGCTTGGCTGAGGTTGGAGTTTGAACGTGTTTGCTAAATAGATCTTATCAGACTTAAACATCAGGTTTCATTAACTCTCTGTAACAGTCAGATCCAGATTTTTTTCCAAAACACCTTTGCCATTTTTATGTTTATTTTTTAATCCTGTGCAGTTTTAGCACAAACATCAGCTTCTCTCCACTTCACCGTCATGTCAGAAAAAAAAAAAGTTACTGTCGTTGACATTGAGTTTTCCCTGGTTGCCGCTGCTGTTGCTGCTGAGACCAAATCGGACCGTTGCTGTTGCTGCTGAGACCAAATCGGACAGAATTCCTCTTGTCTGCAGATTCCTGACAACTGACACCTAAAAGTAGACATTCAGTGTTGAATAAGTGCTGACACGACAGAAGTCGCCTCGGTGAGAGTCAGCTGTCGCTGCAGACACAGAGCTTCACCAGTTCCTGATTTTTTTACTCTGCTGCACTTGTTTCATGCAGAAATGCTGTCAATGAGCTCTGGTTGACTTTCAGATCCCACAGACGTTCCTCCTGTTGTTGTTCTGCTGCTGCTGTGTCTCTGAGTAGATTTGATTTGATGCAGAAAAAAAATGCCAATCAGTTCACCCTGGAATAAAGCATTTATTTGCTGTACTCTGTAGTATTTACATGTGCTATGCTCTGATTGGTTCTCTCCCAGACTTGTCCAATGAAAATGAATCTTGTGTCTGCTCTTAAACACTGACCAGTACTGTTTGAAGCTGTATATACACATTTTTCCATCACACCTTAGTTTTTTTTTCTAATAAATGTGGACAGTTTCGCCTGGGGTCAGTTGTTTGCAGGCTCAGTGCTGACATGTTTCCCTCTGCTGGACAGATGAGGTCACAGTCGCTCCAGTTTTTCAGAAGAACAAAATACAAATATGTCAGTGTAGCCTGGACTTAAATAATTAAATGTAACAATGATTATCAGGAAAGAAAACCCTACAATATTTTCTTGTTTTTCATGTAGATTTTCAACAATTATTGCAACAGAAATAAGGTAAAATAACTTAGTAAGGCTCACTCGGTCTTTGAGAAACACTCTGAGTCTTTGACACTGTTTTGTTGTGCGATAGTAAACTTGACCTGTATGGAACTGAAAGCCTCTCAAAGCCGAGTGTATCCAAGAATATAAAAAAAATATTAAATGGAACTTCTGTGGTGAAAACCTCTCTCCGCTGCAGATTTGATTCAGTCTCACACTGAGAGCTTTGAGAGTTTGTTTGTTTGTTGTTGAGAGTTTTCATGGAGCTGTGTCAGTACCAGGATGTGAACCTGTTTGACTTGAACGTTGCTGGAGTTCGGTAGGAACAACTTACAACTGTATTTTTAGGGGTTTTGAAAAACGGATAAACAACCCTCCAGTTCACCTTGGAAGTGTTTGAACTGTCTCTGACTGAAAGTGTTGGACTTTAATGCTTTGTTTTTGTCTCTGTTCATTTTGTGCGTGCGCGTGGAAATGCAGAGGTGAAAGAGTACGAGCCGCCCTTCGGGAACCTGAGGGAACATCCATGTGTGGAGAGCATGAAGGACAGTGTTCTCCGAGACAGAGGAAGACCAGAGATCCCCAACACCTGGACCAGTCACACGGTAGGAACCAGCTGCAGTCGTACAGTTCAGTCAGGTCAATGGGCTGAACCCACTGTGATGTCACACATTTTAGACTTCATCTGTGCATGTCCATAGAACCTCAGTGTGTGTTAACAGTTTTTGGTATATAGTATTTTATTAATCATTTAACTTTAAATTTATTTTTATAATTTACCAACAGTTTTTGAACAAATAAAGTAATGTGTACGGTTACATCAGGAATAAAACTTGTCTTTGCGTTTACCAACAGTTTTTTAACAAAAAAAGTAAAACAACAACAACAAAAATGTGTACAGTTACATCAGGAATAAAACTTGTCTTTGCTCCACTGCTCCCCCTGCAGGGCATCCAGATAGTGTGCGCCTCCATAGAGGACTGCTGGGACCACGACCCAGAGGCCCGTCTGACAGCCCAGTGTGTCGCCGAGCGCTTTGACGACATAGAGTTCCTGGACAAGCTGTCGGAGCGCTCAGACTCAGAGGAGAAAATCCCAGAGGAAATCTTCGTTGTTGACGAGAAGTGAAGCCTGCATAGGAATGCACTGCCCCCAACTGGACAAAGGAGGAAGGGCGGCTAAGCAGCAGAAAGGGCTAAGGAGAGAGAGTAAAAAAGGAACTTCCAGTGGAAGCTTTGACAGAGAAGAAAACTGGAAAATCAACTGAAAGGTGAACTGAGGTCAGTTTTTTTTTTTTTTTTTTTTACAGTAAACACATCAGGACCAACATGAATTTTACAACCAAATAAAGACTCTATTTTTTACTGAAAATCTATAAAGACTGGACTGAACCAGAAACAGACAGGGAAATTGCAATGTTAAGCTTTTATTTTATAACCAAATACCTTTTGCACTTTATCAGTACCTATGCACACTAAATGTAAATGTATAAATATATACCTATCCAGTGTAATATTTGATCTGCCGGATACATTTCAGGTATAGAAAATAGGATTAGAGAATTATTGGAAAAGTAAATGAAAATATTAAAAATGTAAAAAAAAATTATAAAGTTTAACAAAGATAAAGATAAACCAGGAGACCCAACCAAAGGAAATGTGATATTAAATCTGTGTATGTGTCTGTGTGTGTGTCTGTGTGTATGTGTGTGTGTTTTACTGCAAATCATTATAAAGCCTTACTTTTTTTTAAATGTAAAAAGGGAACATTGATCTTGTTTTGTAAAAAAAAAAAAATCATTTTGTATAAAGTGTTAATGCTTTTATTAAAAGTTTTTTACATACGTGCTGTTTTTTTGTGTGTTCTAATGCTCTGATGTCAAGGTGAACTTCAGCTGATGTTTTTTTTTTTTTGTCCAAATGATGATGAGCTGCGTTACAAACTGAACTGGTGAGGTGGCTGCATGTGGCACCGAGCTCCGGTCCTGACTGAACGCAGCCTTTCTGATGGACACTTCCTCGTGTGGGTTACGATGTCAGCTGACTTTGTTTCATTTCAGTGTTTTATCTTCTGGGTTTTTATCAACCCTGACTTCACAGTTTCAGCAGTCGCCTCTTTAAACGCGGCCCTTCCTCCGCTGAGAGCCTTGGTTCTTTCGGCAGTTTGAGCAGCAAATGAGGTTAATGTTGCAAATCCTGGTCCAACTGAGAATCAACAAGTCGTTCAGCTCTTGGTCTCTTCCCTCGGTGGTTTCACAGTGGTTAAGTGTGTGTTCAATTGACCCAGTGCTGTCAGTTTAAACAAGGCAGCAGCTCAGGTTTTCTTTTTGTTTTTTTTTTAAAGGGAAAAACACTGAATTACAGCAGTGACTGTTACAGTGAACCTCAGCTGTAAAAACCAAACCATAATAATTAATATACATTCCTAGGCCAAGTATTTAAGATGTATTGTAGTCGTCACTTTAATGTGAAAGAAAACATAAATGTGTTTTTAAGTGCTTTTTGATTTTGTTTGAACAGAAATGTCAGTGACGGCCACATGGTGGGAAAGTGGATGGTGTTCATGCCTTACAGCGATAACATCGATGGAGCCCTGGTGGTAACTGATGGTCTTTCTGTGTGGTGTTTTTTTTCATGTTATTCACGTGTGTGAGGGTGTTTTCGTTGGTGTTAATTTGGTTAGTTGTTTACTCTAAATTCACCAATGGTGTGAATGTGAGTGTGAATATTCATGGGGTTGTGAATGGTATTATCTCCAGCTCCCCCTTGACTCTGATGGATTAAAACAGAAAAGGAGTGAAAATAACATAAAAGTAATATTAGCGGTAAGTCAACTGTAACTTTGAACTTCGCCACTAGGTGTTGCCAAATCATATATGCTGTACTTTTGATATTAAGAGAGGTTACGAACCAGCAGAAAATTGACTCACTCACACCTTGGCAATTTATTTTTATATATGCCTGGTATTTAATTATAATTTCTGATTTAATTTTTAGTGGATTATGACAAACATAATCTTTACTTAGAATTCTGAATGTGTTGGAAATGTTTGCCTATTTTGATCTTTCTAAAATATCAATTCATATTCTGGGTTTAGAGTCAAAACTTTGTCTTGGAGTGAAGAAAATTGTGTCTCTAAAGTACGTCTTCCTTTATCATCCGTTGTCTTTTGACTAATGTCCCTATAACCAGTTCTGTGTTAGTGAAGCAGCAGCAATGAAACAGTTTCTCACTCAGACATAAAGAACAGAGAATTTGTTCACCAGCAGCAGCATCAGTGTGTTCTGAGCTCTCGTCTCACAAGGACATTTCTGTTACCCTCCCTCTCTCTTCTCATGCTCTACTTCCATAAACTGTGCCACAGGCTCAGCCCTCTGCTGGCCTGCTCCGCTGCCAACGCCGTGATCAGATCCTGCTGCTGATAAATGATTCATTTCATTGAATCATAAATGCATTATCACAGCAGCGTCACGGCGCAACAGAGCATTTTTCACAATCAAATAACGTGGCACTAATTTTCCTGAGGTAACTGAGGCTGGAGCTCTGAAAATGAGAGCAAGAGATGAGTGAGGAGGAGAGGGATTTGTCTGAGTGTTTCCTGCAGCACTTTCTCAGTCACAGTGCAGAGAAAATGCCTTCATTTTCAGGCACCAGTGCACGTGACATTTTCATGCTAACTACGGAGTCACAAGATCAATTTGTCATGAAGGTCATGCTGCTCTGGATGTTGTTGTGAACTGCATTTGGCAAAATGTATAATGCACGATTTCAAGTCAAATTTGTGGTAAATTAAAAGTAAAGCGTTGCTTAAAATCAGCCAAAAAAGAAGGAAGAAACTGTTTCATGTTTGACAAAAACAGAAATAAATAGTCAGATGATTAAAAAAAATATGTAAAGAAAAAAACAAATACAAAAATAGCATTAGAACAATTGTTAAGGTTGGATCAAAGAAGTAAAAAAAATGCTAAGGTTTAGCCAAAATGGGTTACAAATCTGTCAAAAATCAACGAAAGATAATTCTTTAACAACCAACAGTATTTATCCTAATATGTCTGTGTAGAAACTACAATAGAAACTTGCTATTAATTAGTATTCAACAGAATATACTACAGAAACTACAATAGAAACTTAATTAGTATTCAACAGAATATACTACTACTAATAAAAGAAGTCAATTGTATTTTCCCAGTGGAGCGTTAACTGGCGGCTGCCTGCATTTCGTACTTTGCCCACTAGAGGGCAGAATTGTTATACAGGAGAATTCATACAGAGCCGTTATTGTTTGTAATGCAGCAGCGAGATTGACGGTAAAGTTTACCAAACAGTTCTGAGAGCTGCCGTGAAGTATTTCTGTTAGAGATGACGTACATACAGATTGTGACGTTTCATTGAAATGAGAAATTTACGGGAACGTTTCCATTATAAATACCACAATAATTATATAACTATAAAGGTCAAACTAATTACTTCTCGGTCAAACCAGGTCACTTCCTCTTTACATCCGCTGTATTAGTATTCAACTGTCAACACTTTAGCCAGTTTCACCGTAGAAAAGTGGAGTGACAGACGTGTTTATTTTGTATATTTAAAAATGTCGCCTCGTTTTGTCGTTTAATTATTTTAATGATCAGTTTAAGCCTTCTGTGTTAGTATTTTAGCATTTCTTAGCCGTTAAACTTTTTACGTTTTGAACGTGGCTTTACATAAAAAGGTACACTGTGAAGGATGTAGCGGCACCTAGTGGTGAAGATTAACTTTAAGGTCCGTCATTTTTACATCTGAATATTCTCCAAAAAGAAAGTTGAACTTTTGATTTGTAAGAATTCCAGCTGTGACAAAGATAAGATGTGACCCATAGTTTTGTTCCTAGACTTAAAATGTTAACATCGGCCCCTGATGACGTAGGACCCAGAACCCAGAACCCCTGTCTGTCTTTAACACAACCAGAAATGATGGTGTGATCGCAAGAAATGTTGCACCTCCGTGGGCAGACCTCTGATCTAAACGTGCCCCGGACCCTCAGGTGTTTTTACAATTCCTAGAAGAAAACACTCTCCTGTCAAAGTCACTTATCATTCCAGCACTGTGGTTGCCATGGTGACACCTCATGCATCAATCATAGCTGTCGAGCCGTGCCGTTGTTGGTGAGAGATAGAAACAATATTTTTAAGCTCTAACACGTGGACAGACAAGGAAGACAAATGACTGCTCATCTCTTATCTCGCTGCGCTCTAGGTGAAGCAGTTGAAGTCAGGCGCCATTTCCTCTGCTAACCCAACTCTGTGCTTTATAAATCACCTTTTTCTGACCCTAGATACACATTTGATTTAGATGTTCACTTCACGGTTCGCGCTGCAGCGTTGGCGGCCGCAGCCGCTGGAGTCGCACTAAGAAAGAGTTATAATCTCTTACAGCAGTTGTCCAGGGATTATGTGAGATGGACAGTTCAGACGGCTACTGTATCAGGAGTCAATAACCCAGTTGTCCTTTCTGAGGATTTCGTCTTTCACAAGCTTTTTGTGAAAGAAACATTAAACGTTAGCACAGCCAAACGCTAAAGATCGATCCAGTTTGACTCAAATTATAACTATAATTACAATATTTAATTTGTGCAGAAATATATTTTAAGTCAAGATGATTTCATCCCTTAATTATCTGAAAAGAGATTGTTGCTTGTTAGCCCAATGCTACTGTGACAAAGTCTTAGCTTTAAGCTTTAACACACAGAGAGCTTAGAGATGTGTTCGCAATATTTGGCCAAAATTTAGCTTAAAATTAAAGGTTAGCAAACAAGAAGTAATATAGTTGAAAGACAACTTAAATGTTGGAGAATTTCTAAAATAACCAGGAAGTTACAAACATATTACAAATTCAAATCTTGAATTTTTTTTTTTTTGCTGATACTACCTCTTCCGGTTGTGGCAGGAAAATATGGTAAGTGCCAGTTTCCTGGCACCGGATGGCAGTGTCAGAAATCTGTAGGTGGTTCTCTGTGAGGAAATGCATTTTCCAAGAAGAGCGAGAAGTTTAACTCCTTAAACAAACCTTGAACAAAAATGGATTAGTATGATCATATGAATAGACAAGGACAGTGCCAGTCTGGTTAATCTCCAGCATTAACTGTCCTCCAGTCAAGTACGGTTGCGAGGACGATAAGGGACTTATTTTGGCTCTGTTTAATCCTTTAATCTGTATTCCACATTAATTTGTCCAAGTCAGAAATAATTTCTGCTTTTTGTCCCAATTCACCTAGTGTTCAGCGTGACAGACTGCCACGGTGTCTGATGTGACCAAAATAATCCCCATTCACACAGCAAAACCTCCATTTGCAGCTGGAGATTTAACTTCCTGTCAGGCGAGCAACAGTTTTGCGAGAATTGACAGTCACATATTGATGATTTATGACAGCGGTGTACCACAGGGATACGTGCTCAGACCAGTCTGTATTCCCTGTTCAGTCGTAACTGCGCCGCCTAATGCGACGTCAGCGTCAATATTGTGTTTACTGGCAACACAGTTATCATTATGCATGACAATGACACGGGTGGCCCGTAGGGAGAGTGTGAAGACACTAATCTAAAGATACACAGTAGGGGCAACAATGTGGGGTTCTACGGAACAACAATCTGCCCTAAAACAGGGCCCACAGCAGATGTCAGGAAATTAAACGAAATATTGTAGAAGCAAAAACAAGGGCTTTTTGTTACTACTAATTAGATCAACTTGCTGTAACTCTTTGAGCTCAAAATTAGCTAAAGTTGGCTGAGTTTAAGATGGATGGATGGCTAGTTTATTCCTGTTTGCTGCTCAGTTGATGTTTTCTGAATAGATTTCATTATTTGCCAGAGTTTTGGATCTGGCCCCTGCTGATCAGGTGTGGTACTGCAGTCAAAGGCTGAAAGGGTACCTAACTCTTTTCCTGTCTTCTGCATCTGTTCTCCTCTCCGCTCGTTGGAGCAGCCTGCGGACTTATGACATTACTTGGACGGTGGGAATCTGGTTCTGTCAGATGACCTGATCGATGGCGAACAGGAAGCACAGAAGTGCTTAGTCTTGTCCAATGGGCACATGATATTGAATGGTCTTTGTAATTTTGAGATCACAGAAATGCATGCTTGGCTACAGCAGCAACATTGATTCTAACTTAGATTTTTTTTTTTTAATTCTATGGAGATGCCTGAGTTGCTGCAGCTCTTTGCTTTGAATCCACTGAATCTTAGCGCTGTGATTAAGGCCATATCACATAAATCTGATGTGTCCTGAGCAGAAACAGGTCTGTGTGCGCGGACCGGCCCAGTCAGGAAGGTGAAAGACGGCTCATTTGTCAAGCAGAGGCAGGTGGGAAATGGCCCAGCATACGTTTTCAACACGTGAGCCATATTTTTAAGCTGCCTCCCAGGAGGTAGTTCATGTCAAACCAACTCCAACTCTTTTCTCCACGTCGCGCCTCTCACGTCTGAATAGAGAGAAATCTTTAAAAGACACGGAGCAGATGCTGCACTGACTGAAAAAACATCTTTTTTTTTTTTTGATAAGGCAGCTTTTATTCCATATGGGTGTGTAGATGAGAGGAGGACTTTTTAAAAAAAAATCTCACTCTGCCTGCAGACAGTTGATATCTCTGTCGAGCCCCGTCGTCCGCTCTTACACACACATTGGGAAACTTTCTTTTAAAGTTTTTATGCCAATAGGATGTGATGAATCACTGCAGGCACTCGGAGCCGTGTCGACAGGTCAGAATCAATCTTGATGAATGTGGCGAATGGGGAAACGTAACAGAACATTTTCTCGTGTTGATATGTTTTTATAATGGTTTTGGAACGAAGTGAAAAAACCCACTTAAACAAGTGGAGAACTGCTGGTGTTTTGACTAATGATTATTAATGAAGTAACTTATTTTTTATGGTTGACACAACGTACGGACGACCATTCACACTCACATTCACACCTAAGGCCAATTAAGAGGGGAGAATGAACCAAATCCTGTGTTTTTCTTGGCTTATGGGAGGACATGTCATACCAAGACACTGGGGATCGAACCATTGAACTGGTGACTTTTTTGTTGTAAGGCAAGAGCACTAACCACTCCCACAGCATGTGGCCAACGCAAAATAATTAAAAGTAAATTTCTGTTTTTGTTAGACCTGGAAATGAAAACATAATTTTCTCCAAGGTCGGCCATATTGGATTAACAGGATTTTTTTTTTCTTGTGACGAGGCCAGGGATGTCCAACCACAGCATCAGCAGTATGTCAGCAGCATGTAGTGTCATTGTATCTTGAACTCCTGAGCTGTACCTTGGACTAATCAGTCTGTGCAGCTTCTCGTTGATTGGTTCCCGACTGCCTCAGCCTCACTGTTGTTGATATTTAAACTTGAGATTTACCACCAACACCACAACCTCCTCATTAAACTCAGTTGTCATAGAAACACCTTTTTTTATGTGAACGCCGGTTGAGTTTTCAACATCAAATAATTCTTCGGCGACCTGAGAAACTTGACCTTGGCCAATTATATTGATGGTGAACAGATTAAAACACAGCTGTGTGTTGACTGGAGGCAGATGAAGGTTCAGGGGTTGATCTTCTCACCTCACTGGGGCAGAACGTGGTGGAAGTGCTAACAGTTCAGTGAATCACTGTTAAACAAAGTTTCAATAATGATAGTGTTATAAAATAATGTGATAATTAGGGAGTGTTTTGCTAACCTTTAGCGTCACCTCTGCTAACTTTTTGCAGTATTTTTTCAAACCCATTTTACATTATTTAAAGCCATTTTTGGTATATTAGTGATGAGTTTTAACCACGACGATGACAAAGTATTTTATTTTCCTGACAATCTTTTAAGAATTCTGAAAATGTTTAGCAGATGTCTGCATTTTTCTTTTTTAATTCAACTTTCTTTATGCTCAATTTCTATTCTCAGACAGTAAAGGGAATAGAAGTGTAAACTACTAATTTTCTTACTGGAATATTTTTCACTCACCTGTGTTTAAATCAAACTTGTTTTAATGCTGATTTTATTTAATTAAGCTAAGATGTTTGTTTTTATTGTTTGCCAATTTGTTAAGTGTTTAGATTAATGTTGTTACAGTCACTTAGACTTTTTCTTACTGTTGCCCAATGGAAATGGAAACTTTTTATATATAGGCTCTTTGAACAAGAGATTTCTTCAGGTTTTGCTCTTTTTATTGTACAGTAGTATGTAAAAAAATATGTAAAGATATTCTTGGATATTTCCAGGATTCTCCTGCCTCAATGTTTTAGTGATTTTGACACTTGTTATAATGATGTCAGGAATTTGGGAACATAATGAGTCTTCTCTCTAGACATCCCTCACCCTGCAGGATATCGTTGCCTTAAAAAACAAATTGGAACAACAACAGATTCCATCCGACTGTGATCTTCACACACCATCTGTGCAGGATTGGAGGCTTCTTAAAGTTTGCTCTGAGCAGAGACTGCAGATTCACCCAGGATTCTCTGCTCTGTCCTACATAAAACCGAAGCTTCAGAACATTATGCACCTTGTGACAAATTGTTGAATCCAGTCGATACCGCTCTCTCGGGTGAAGCCGTAGCTCTTTTGTTGCTCTCAGGATTGACAGGTTGCCCCGTTTTTTTCACTTATATCGATCATAGCAGAAGTCTGGAAACAGAAACAACGATGATCATCTTCCTGGCCATATATGTTCTTTGTCTCTCTGTGTCTTCCTTTGTCAGTTTCACACCTGCAGCCAAAGCAGGAAGAATGGAACAGAGGAAACGTGCAAAGACTGTCTCTCACATTGCATTTTTATTGCTTTTTTTTTCACCTTTCACAGCACTGGCCTTTTGGCAGAACAAAGCCCAGAATGCCAAGCATAAATTTGGCAATTCCTTCCTGTTCCTGGAAAAGAAAAATATACAAAAAAGAGAAACCAACAGAAAGAAAAGACGAGAAAACACACAGATTGGAGTTTTCCCCCCAAAGACGAGGGAAAGAAAAGTGAAGCTGCCTCGCCTGACGACAGAACTCATTTTGTTTACTTTTCTCCTGGACGTTGATCAACGAGGATGCAACTAAAGTCGTCTTGCAGCCAGGATTTTTAATGACTCAAAGGTTAACTGTTCACAGCAATCAGAGCAGATGTTCAGGAGTCGGTGGAGAAGCTTATTATTGTCTGTGGATACATTGGGATTCTGTGTGATTCTATCTACCTCTTGAAACACCAACCTGCTCTTCTTTTTCCATCTCCTCGTCCCCGTGATGACCCTCGTCATTTTTAATCAATTTTTTTTACTTCCCTTTGTCGTTTTTTTTACCTCTCAGACAATGTACCTTCATCTCACTCTTATCTTCTCCTCATCAGGTGAGAAGATTCCGTAGCCGCGGATCCACAGCTGTGCTAAACTTGCTCGAACTGCACTTTGAATCTCCTGCATGAATATTTAATTTGCACTTTTTAAAATCAGTTCTGTGCGAAGGACAAATCTATTAACAGGAGTGATGGAAATTTTACCAGAAAATGTTACATTTCCCACTTGGTGAATTGAACTTTTAAGAAAATGTTAAATGTTTTGAAGATACCTCCTGAGACGCTCTGCATCATGGCCTTGTTTGAAGACCTGACATCACTCAGACCTTCAGAATTCAACTGAATGAATTGCACTTAGAATGCAGACAAAGCCAGTGCACAAACCAGAGATAAATACAAAAAAGAAAAAAGGACTGTAAAAAAAAAACTAAACAACACTGATAGATTGTGGATTTAGAAGTACTGTGTTCTCATTATTTGAAGCAGAGAAGCAAGAAAGACAGTGGAAGGTTGTTCCTAAAGGATCATGGTCCTGAAGAAGGCCTAAGAAACTGTGTGTTGACACCGTAGCTTGAGACATCAGAGAAATCGACCCAAAAGAAAGAGGGTGAAAGGATCCCTTGGAAAACCAAAGCCAGACCAGCTCTACTTCTGGGACAAGTACGTTTAAAGTCAAAGAAGGGTTTCTTGAGGATTTTTGTCTCTTACCAACCAACCCTTTTACTGTGATGTCCTAGCAATTTTGGCCAATGTTGGAGGGCAACACCATCAACCCTAAAAGCCATGAAGGATAGTGACCTTTCAAAGACTAGACCTGGCACAAACATACTTACCAAAGCTGCTCACACTGGTCACAGAGAGAGGAATGTGTTCATTACAACACCCATAAGATTACATCTTCCGAGAGCTTATCTTGAACCCTGTACTGTTAAGAATCACAACCTTGGATCAGCAGCCACTGTGGTACATCTAGCCTTCGGCAACTCGCAGCTCAAGTACAGAAAAAGTACATTTACCTGACCTTGAAGTTATTGTTGTAAATACAATTGACAATGGGATCTAATTCCCATTAGTCTTCATCTGGAGTGGTGTTTAAACTAGATTGCTGTTGTTGTTTCCTGTGTGTAGGTTGAAGCACTCTGGGGCAACTCTGATTTACATAAAGCTAAATCACATGCAGTAAATGCTGCTGAAAGAGAAGGACTTAAGGACAAATTTGTTTTTCTATATGATACAGTACACACTGACGGCCGTTGGATGCTGGTGGTTTCTCGCCCTCCTCTGAGACTGAATCCCATCTCAGATAAATCAATAATGCTTCCAGCCTGCGTCTCCTGCGAAAAAGTGCAATCACAAAATGAATGTTAGCAGTCGTTTGGGGGGGAAAAAAAGCCCTCAAGTATTTGTATTAAACAGGTGTGTTTTATCGGCCTGCAGAGCTTCAGGGACACGTTTTGAAAAGAGTATCTTTAATTTAAAGATAACGTTTGCAGTGTTTTAGCATTTCACATAGTATTCTTGGTTTGGAAACATGGAGCTTTTAGGTTTTAATCTTCCCCTGTAGAGGGAGTTATTGCATCATTTGAATACCTTTTTCATTGAATTGTTTTGGGAGTACAACAGCATTATTTATTCCCCTTTCATAATATTAATTAGTGTCCCATAACACACATTTTTTAACCCGTTACTTCTCCTGTGGGTATTAACAGCTGCTCTGTATCCTCTAAGTTGCATTACTGCCACCTACTGGCTTTATTTTCTAATGCTAATGACATATGATAGCAAACCTGCTCATTATCTTAACATTATTTCCTGTGTCTTTGTGAAACCAATATTAATCTGAAATAATTCTATTACATGTAATTTGGGGTAAAAAAAAAAAAAAGCACAGTTAAACTCCAAATTATATTGTTAAGACTTTAGCACAATCCACTGTAGGTCAGAACAAAAAAAGTTAACTTTTAAGTTGTTGGAGAAAAAACAACTTTTCCATCTATTTAAAGATGTGGCGGCTTGTTATAGGCTTAGGGGACAAATTGTGAAAAGAATATCCTGAGTTTAAGCCAATGACAAATGTTGTCTACTTTGGTTTTTGGCTGTGGGACCTAATAATGATGAGTCCCATCAATCTTTATAACCAGTCCACTACACAAGTCCAGAACATCCAAGGGCAACAGAAATATTGGACTCACAGAGAGAACATTTATCTTCAAAGACACGTCTGGAGCTTTGATTTTTTTTTTTTTATTCTCCTCTGATAAGATTGAGAATTTGTATTTATTTATTTTAATTGTAGCCAATTTAAAGTAAGTTCAAGTTTATGTTTTTCATTTGTGAAAGAAAGAAAAAAACTTTATCTTATAAATGACAGAGATGAGCTTTATTTCAATCAGGAAGAGACAAAAATCTATTTCCTTGTTATTTGGGGATTCGGCTGCCTGTCTGTCTAAAGGTCGTCTCTGATTGGCTCAGAATATTTAAATACCCACCTTTTCGTAGCTGTCGATTCGTGATAGGCCGCATGATACAAACTAAACTCCTCCCAGTTCTTAACCCCGCCCCTTTTCACCGGCGTTGAATCTTGAAAAGGATGACTGTTGGAACTGACTCTGTTTTGTTCGTCTGTGCGGGATTCCGGTGATGTGACTGCCGTAAGTGCTACGTTAAGAGGAAAAAACACTGGAAATTAAAAGGAACCGACTCTCGCACATTTATGCACAGCAGACTCAGGACGTAGGACTAAACCGGAGACCAAATTCGGGACTTTTCTAACCCAAAACCAGCACCGACAAGGCGCTCAGAAATGGCGGAGCAGCACGCAGCCAGCGACGGCAAGCACAAAGCACCCAACAACGCCGGGAGCTCGGTGCACAGCAACAACCGACACGGCGGCGCGGCCACCGGAGGACCAACTGCAGGAGGGGGTAAAGGAGGCCTTTCGGGCGGGCTGACTCAGCCGGCAGGTTGGCAGTCGTTACTCTCCTTCAGTATCCTTTTCCTGGCCTGTCTGGCGGGATTCAGCTCCAGACTTTTCGCCGTGATCCGGTTCGAGAGCATCATCCACGAGTTTGACCCATGGTGAGTAAAGCTAATAAGCTAACAACACACGGGTTCAAGTCACCAGAAAGTACACGTTATTTTACAGTTATTTAACAAATTATTATTATTTTATAACATTTTACCTGTGAATACTTGGTTCGTATTAGGGTAACTGTGGTAGTTAAAACTATTAAAGTCAAATTTTATGCGAGAGAATCGTATGTTTGCGCTATTTAATTATGACTGTCCAAACTGTAGTCTCGTGCGAGTTAGCAAAAACTGTGTTTGAATGTTAAATATGAGAATACAAATCAATGAAGCCTTTAGTGGTTAGAAGCAGACTTTCACTACTTTCAGTACGAGTTTCCGTTCACTGCAAATCACAAATTCAGTGAGAGCAGGTGGAGCCGTGTCCTTTGAATGAATGACTGCTGTATCGCTAACATAGACAACTGGTAAGAGCCGAGTGTAGCCGACTGTGAAGTCTACCATATATTGTGTATAAGAACTGGACCGAGAAGTGCTCGACTGGGAGTCGAAAGTATTCGTGTTTGCATTCAAGTCTGTATAAAATGTGGGTGTTTTGCTGAGGATTCGAGGATCTGGACGATGCTAGAGTCTGAGCTTCAGGTAAGTTTTTCATACAGTGTGATATCAGTTTTGTAAATCGTGATCACATTAAAAAAAAAAATTATAATGCAAGGTGATATGGAAATGGAGATAACCTCATGTGATTGGCGGCTAAATTACTAACATTAACTCCTAGTAATGATACAGTCATGAAGTAATAAAAATATGTGCCATTCGTTGTCGATGATGCAGTGTTGCTTGTATAAATTAGTTATTCTCATGTCAAATTTCTTCAGGATTATCTTTGGAAATATTTACATACTTGAACACAACTTATACAGAGAGACAAATTTGAGTGAAAATGCAAAGTTCTAATGTTTTTATTTATTTACATTGACCTTATTTAGTTTGATTGAACATATCTATGAAGTCTTAACCTTTCTAGGTCTGATTTGGTCTGTACATTTCTGACTCATTTCTTTCCCTCATAGAGCTGCTGCTGAGGCTGCTTTAATGTGACCCGTTAGGGAGGTGCTATAATTCTGGCTTAAATGTCATTGCCTTTATTGTTGTAACTTTCCCCCCCAGTCGTCCTCTTTGCACCACGAGAGGAACTGAGTCGACGTGAGGTCTGACGTTGGTCTGCCCTCTTCTCTGAGCTAAATGGCATTGCATTGTCAGGCAGTGTGTAATAACTGGTTATTTATTTGCTGTTGTGTGTACAGTGATAGAACAAACTAGGACTTAATGATTCACAGTGATGTACAATATTCCCCTGAAAAGTGGAGGGAAGTCTGAGTCTGCTGACTTCCCTCTGACAAGTTTGACCAATTACTTAAAAGTATGACCATGTTATGATCTTTTGGACAGGCAGAACATTCTGCCTTTGAGCATGGATGCGTCTGGCTGAGAGTTTTGGAGTGCCAGCTGAGAAGTTAGGATAAATCATGTTGAAGAGATACTTTTGGCTGCTCCCTCCTTCAGGGATCTCCACAGCGGATAATCCTCGTCTGTGAATTGGCAAGAGTTTTGACTCTGGTTGTCCTTCCTGAAATAACAATCCTCATTTATCCTAAAATGGGAATTGTATTAGGAGGGCACGGACCCATGTGGCTGGGGTTATAATGAACAACTTGGAGTTAAGTCACCCAAGTCACACACTGGCAGGGCCAAGGCCCAGTCTAGTCGTGGGTCATTATGTGATAATCTTTTTTTAACCCACTGTTTTATGTTTGCACGTCTTTTTTTTAACCCACTGTTTTATGTTTGCTTTTTAAATAAAAATGTATGTTTTGTGAGCTATATATTGAGTTTGGGTATTTTGCAAAAACTTTGCTAATTTAATAGTTGCTTCTACTTAAAAAAAATGTGGTTGACCTCATTTTAAGAATGACAACCGAATACACTTGAATGACTCAGTCTGTGGCTCCTCCTCTCCTGACCTAGGAATAGGAGATGAATATTGGAAAGAAAAAATATTGGATTACTCTGCTGGTCAACCAATAACAGCCAGTGCTCAACACATTAAGCAGTTTTTAACCCCGGCAGCCACCTGATCCTGTTTGCTGTGTCTGTCATCACAATACAGGATTATTCCCAGTCTTTGTAGTGATGTCACATGGTCTCACAGGTGTCATACGACACTGTGGCGTTCAGCCGTACAGCCCAGGCTGATGCATTCATTTTTTAATCTGCCAGGGCAGGTGTTCGCTCTCGTTCGGGGGTGACATTCACCTTTTGAGTTGTTGATAACTTGATTGCATTTGGTTGCCCTGAGGCTGAGGTTCGGTGTGATGCTGCCTTTGCATTTTTAATCACGTGCTTCTGAAACGAATGTGATCCTGCTTTAAGGCTCAAATTTGCATCAAGGTCTGACCTTAGCTCAGCTAATGAGCACTTTTCATCAGTCACATGCTTGTTAGGGAGCATGTTCAACATTCATATATCCCACTATAAACCACAGTGGCCGGGCTCTTGGTATCTGCAGTGTCTTACCCATGATGCTTTGCATTGCATGTCAGTGACGGGAAGAAAATGAAGATGGTGATGTCAATGTTCTTGGCCAGGTTTCTTGGCCAAATAACTTCCCCCGCTGTGAGTGGTTGTTGCTCTCATGTTGTGTTGCTGTAGTTGCCTCCATTTTTTTTACAGTTAAATAGTGTGTAGTGCATGAAGCTGCAGCCACTGCTGCTTTACTTCTTTATCTTTCAGTTGATTTAACGTTTACACATGACAGGCAGCTACATCTGTCATGGTCAGCCTCGATAAAAGAGACAACTTGGTGTTTTCTGCTGTCATTGTGGTGCAATGGCGTGAGTTTTTGTTTCGTAAGTTCATGAGTCACAGGAACAGGAATCTGAAGCTACACTGGTTTAAAGGCCTGAGATGAACTATTCCACAAACACACAGAACAATCTGAAGCTACACTGGTTTAAAGGCCGTACCCTGGGGATGAAGAGATGAAGGAAATCATTTGTATATTAAAGTTGTGTTAAGTTAACATATTTCATTATTTTCAATCTTGCTCCTAATTTTCCGATTCTGAATTTTTCATTTACTTGCTCTGGGTCCAGCTCAAATATTGCAGTGACTGCTATTTTTTTTGTAGATGGAACTATTGTTCAGTCCCCCACCTCTCATTGCAAATCAATAGCTGTGCTTGGGGCCCTGCCCCTCCCTTTAGAACCACTGTGCTAAATGGCTGTCCTTGTCGTGTCCTGACGTCACCTACTGCTGTGGTCAGTCTGTTGTTTTCTGTCGGTGGTGTCTGTTGGTTACCAAGTGTTATCAGTTCTTCCTTTTGCAGAGCAGAGCAGCATAAACTGAAAAAAAGGACTTCTTTTCTCTTTGACTTTCACTCTTGTGTCCTCAGAGCTTTAAATATTCTACATCTGTTCTTCTTCCAAATTTGAATGGAACCTGCTGTCACTGGTTTGAATTTAGAGCAAAACCAGAAAACAAAAGCACTGATCAAGAAGAAGAAGAAGCTCCGCGCCAGCAGTGTGTCTGCAGCGGCCTATTCATAAATCTTGCACGAGTCGACCAGTCCTACAGCCGTCCTTTGACCCCGCTCGTAATCCAAGATCGGCTCGCTGTGAACTATTGCCTGACATTTGCGATATTTTACTCTCTCCCGGGCATGTTTCTTACCAGATGAACCTTGCGTGAGTGCAGTTTTTGCTGGGAATATTAAGTTAAACATCCCGATTATTATTCTGATACGTTCTTGTTGACTCGAAACAGAACAAGCCTTCATCTCTCTGGGAAAAGAAATCTAAGCTTTTTATGTTGGGCTGTGCATTTTTTACTCCCTGACCTTTTTGACAGCAGGAAGCCAGAATGTCAATTTTACAACTGCAGGCACACAGGCTGCTGATTGCGACTCCCAGACACGCATGATTAGTGCCGTTGTTGACTGAATGCTCGGTTGCTGTTAGTGATTTTCCTGTGCGCACTGCTTGGAATTATCTACAGCTAACCATTACGTTAAACAAGCCGGCAATTGGAGGAGATTGGATTTACAAGCACTAAAAATAACAAGTTTATTTTGCAATTATGCAAACACCAGGAGCTGTGCTGATCTTGTGAGCCGGGTCCTTTTATACGACCCGTCTTATCTGGCTAAGCTCATTCTGTTTCAGAATATTTATTGATTGCGTTTTTGGGGGTTTTTTTTAACGTACAAGCTTTAGTTGGCCTACGAGTTGAATATTTTCATTAAAAATTCATGTCACTCCCTTTTTGTTAATTTTCCATGTTAATATTTGTTCCCTTTTCTCCAGACAGGGATTCAAAGGGATCATTTCTGTCAACATCTTCTAACGACTGTCTACCAGTCTTTGTTGCCGAGCTATTAATGCTGCCTCTGTTTTGCAGAGAAATATTTGCTCCTGTTCCCTGGGTTGGTTTTTTTTTTTTTTTTTCTGTCCAGTTTGTTGAGTTGGTGGTAGGAAAATTTAATTAGATTGAGTCCTTCATGGTGAACATTTCTTGGAAGCAATTAGTTTTTTTTTTCCACCTTGGTTGTTTCAGGAAACGATCTGGTTCTCTCTGAGTGAACATAAAAGAGAAAACATCTGTTTTAGTTAAATACTTTCGTTAAAACCCATGTTGTTACTATTGTATTTAGGCTAAACCCAAACCAGTTGGGTTTTGGTTGAAATGTAGGGCTGTCAAAAAGTTCACATTTTTAGTCTGATTAATCACAGGTTAGCTCAGCCTTCTTAAACGCCGTACAAAGTCTTCCTGATATACCTGTTGTCCACATTATCCTGGTTTTCTCCACCAAGATGATGTGGTTTCTAGGAAATGAAAAGAACCATAAACACTCCAGCCTCAGTTTCTGTTCAGTCTGAGAGCAGAACCAACGGCTGATGGCAGTTTGTAAGACCAGAGCTTTGCTCATGGGCTACAGAACTGCCAGAGGAATGTAGCGCCCGCCAACATATAAAATTAAAACCTTATTTTGT